ACGTAATCGTATTGAAGGCGTGGATATCATAGCCATTGCATTGCATCGCAAACCCATTAATGCATTGCAAATGCATTGCATTCAAGCGCTCAACCATTCAATGCCTCTCCGAATGGGGACACAAATAATGCCTTTAATTGTAACGTAACTGTGAATGCGTTACTCAATTGCTGTGTACAGTACAACCTGTATAGCCATACACACCAATACTCGCTGTACTTCACACCGCAATACCTGTACTTCTCTATCAAATGCATTGAATTGAATGCGAGATTCAATGCGGAACTGAAGCACTGATTCGCTGTCCAAAACATATCATCAAAAAAGTGTTTCAATTATTTTAATTATCGCTTCCATTACAGAGCAGCCAATCATTACACTAACCATTGGATTGCCATTACATTTCATACATTTGTTGCCAGTAATAGTAGTTTAGTTTTCAAACCATTTACAACACGATAATTGACTTATTAGACAAAACTTACCCCTCTTTCTGCACCATTAGTGGCCCCGACTCTGTCTGACATACCTCTGTCACCACCCGAAACATTAATGCCATCATTTAGATCACGAATACCTTTCATATCTAATCGCATGAGATATTAACGATATAATAGTTGTTATAAAATAATTATCGACTTTTATTTTCTCGAAAAATACAAATATTTATTGGAAAAAAATATCCCAAATTGTGCTTAACTTTTGTTTGCAATTAAAATGTTATTATCTGTGACTATAAGCAAAATCTATAATAATTGGGAACTTTTGGGAACTTGTAATAAAAGAATATGCATTTAATTAAAGCTTTTTTGTCAAAAAGTTTCCTCAACTTTGATTTATTTGCCAATAATATTAACACTAATCGAAATGTTGGCATCTTTTTGCCAATTTTACAAAACTTTTTTGTGCAAAAACTACTCAATCCTTACATTTATATTCTCACATCGTATTCAAAAATCACACGAATTTCTACCAAAAAACTTTTAAATCAAATTAACACACAATGAATGTGAAAAGTCAGACAAATTAGACATAATATGGTTTAAAAATATAATTTCATAATTTAATAAATTAGACTAAAAATGTTGTTAAAATTTTTAATGCAATTGTTGTTAACAAATGTTAATTGAAATGCACTGCGAAGTGAAGGCCAGGTGAGGGTCCGGTGCGCCCGTGTGTTAACCCAATTCTACACATCACTTACTGGAGGGTTGGCTCGAAGTGCACAGACTGTGACCGTTTCCACTCATCGCACACATCATGTGCGCCAGTAATCCGATTATGGATTAAGATTATGGAACTGATGATCATTTTTACCATCAAGTCTTGAGATACGGACAGATATGTGGGCATCAGTTGCCACTCTATAACCAATCAGCGCTCACTCCTCCCAATCGTCACATTATATATGGAAAGACCCGCAACTCATCACAAATTGTTTCACAATATTTACATTCATTTTCAATACAAATGTATTCAAAAACTCAATATTAATTGCAATTCAATTCAATTAAACATTGAATGCATTGTTTGTTATAATAAATGTAAATCTAATTCACATTATTGTGTTTGCAATCAATTCAATGCAAATGCAGTTCAGTATTGAATCAAATACTTAAATACAATACAAATGTTTAGTCAAAAAAACTAATAAATCAATAATTTATTAATCGTTAGAAAAAATATATATAAATATATTTATTGAGTAAATATTGTTATAAATTAATTAGTCATCAAATATAACGACAACCCATTGACAAGACATTCCTCTTCACCACCGATGCTGTCTTCAGACAATTTACTTCATATGAATGGCTCGCAAACCACCGATGATTTCAGCGATGATATCGATCACCACTTTTCACCCATTCCTGACCCCAGAGTTCAGGTGAGATATCACTGCCATTATTGGCATCAATCATGTCATACCTTCTCACTCCTCCCAATCGTCACATTATATATGGAAAGACCCGCAACTCATCACAAATTGTTTCACAATATTTACATTCATTTTCAATACAAATGTATTCAAAAACTCAATATTAATTGCAATTCAATTGAATTAAACATTGAATGCATTGTTTGTTATAATTAATGTAAATTTAATTCACATTATTGTGTTTGCAATCAATTCAATGCAAATGCAGTTCAGTATTGAATCAAATACTTAAATACAATACAAATGTTTAGTCAAAAAAAACTAATAAATCAATAATTTATTAATTGTTAGAAAATATATATTTATTGAGTAAATTAATTAGTCATCAAATATAACGACAACCCACCAGACATTCCTCTTCACCACCGATGCTGTCTTCAGACAATTTACTCCATATGAATGGCTCGCAAACCACCGATGATTTCAGCGATGATATCGATCACCACTTTTCACCCATTCCTGACCCCAGAGTTCAGGTGAGATATCACTGCCATTATTGGCATCAATCATGTCATACCTTAAGACACATACCATTTGATTATCTCTTTTGATGGTGTCTGCAGATAGAGCTCGAAAACCTCAACACATCCACTGATTTGATCAACAAATTAGAGGTCGAACTCAATGTATGTTTCGTTTGAATGATTTAAAAGCACTTTTAATTATAGTGTTATTTCATATAATAATCTCATTTTATATAATGAACTATAATTTCAATACAATTATACTTAAAAACACATATCGTTCGCTATTTTGCGATAAATTATTGTAAAATTTAATTAATGTTTTATTAATTGCTTGGAAAGGAGTCGAGAACTCATTTCCATCTATTGCTTAGCGATTCCTCGCAAAAGATCTCAGAATTGGCCAAAAAGTTGGGCTCTTGTGTCGAGAGAGTAAAGTATGAAATAGTTTTGCATTTCTATAACCATTCAAAACATAGAAATTGAGAGTTTAATGAAAAACAAATGCAATGTTTCACTCATTTCAGGCCATACTATGAGGCGAGGGTTAGGGCTAAAGAGTTGAGAGTAGAGACACAGAGGGCTGCCCTCCGGTTCGAGAGGGCCACCAGTTCTCATATCGTGGCCAAAGAGATGGTCCGATTGGCCGAAGAGGGCCTTCAAAAGGAGGGAACCGTTTTGGACGACTCGTGGCAGGAAGTGCTCAATCACTCGACCAGTCGTGTCAACGATTGCGAACGCGAGAGGATTAGCGAACAGTTACTCCACCAGAAGGTGTCGCAGGACTACAACAATTCGGAACAATTGGTCCTACAATTGCATAAACAATTGAAGCGTTCAATCAATAAAGCCAGGTATGCATGCATTCCCAACCCATACAACTACACAAACAACAAATTGT